TTCACATGCAAACGGATAATCCGTCCATTTCAGATAGTTGTGCAATTTTTTTTTTACCTAACCAAGTGGTGAAACAGCCAATACGATCGTCCAACGAGAAACGAGGTGACCGTTTCGATACGGGGCGACTCGTTTGAAATCTCGCAGTAAATTCGTTTCTCCAACATCTGCGCGGCGGTGATTGGACGGCGGATTGTTCGATAAAACGGCGATCGGCGTTAGCATCCAACTAGGGTGGGCGAATGAAACCGAGAGAGGGTGGCAAAAGGCTGACTTTCTCTTTCGCGGTTTGTTCGCGCTGAAATAGAGCGGTTTTGTTCTTATAAAGGCTAGTTAAAATGCAGATTCTATCAGTCACTCCGCATGAAGACATACTTCGCGTGCATCGTGACTAACGCGTGTGCGGCTTTTATATAAAATTGTCTTCAAAGGAAATAGAATTTTAACAAAAATTGGGGAGTATCAACAAAAAAATGATGTCGATAGAGTTGCCATAGTTTTCTTTGATCATCAATTATGCTGACTTGGCATAGGAATGTAATAAAGAATATATAATATATTTGATATAGCTGATAAACGCAAGATTCGTTATTATATAGTTGATGGATATTGATAAAAGATGTTCTATTAGTATATTTCGCGAAAAATTTATTATACTAATCACTGAACAAAAATATTTGGCGAATACAATAAAAAGAGCTTTATTGATATGCGCGCGGCGAATAAAATTTCGTAATGTCTGATGAATAAAACAGGAAGCTATATTTCTGACAAGTTATAATCTATACGGCGCCGCATCTGCTTATCGACTTCGCAGCTGCTCACCATTTCCCATGGATGTCCCGTCTAAACGCGGCGCATTTGTTTATCGCTCACGAACGACATTTTAATTTCCCAACCCATTTGTAATAGAGGTCGTTACGAATTTGTGCTGCGAGATGCAGATTCAATTAGATACCAATGACAATGCCGAGCGGAATGTTCGTGACACTGGGTCGCAGGTGTTTCAAACGACCGGCCTCTGTGTTCGGAAATGGTATTTACTACTAGCGATTGGTTGGAATTCACTTGGACGCGCGTTATATCGGACGCGTTTCAAACATAGCCATAGTATTCTTATTATTGATTATTGTGACCTTTCCTTACAAGAATATTAATCACGATAATGAATATTTTCTAAACTAACTGAACTGTAGATTACGGTGATTTAAAGGAAAACCACGTATGTTGGCGAGATCACTGTTTTTTTTTACGTTACGAGCTTCAAAAACGAGAGAAAAAGCAGCTTGCTCACCACCGTCACGACACACTAGACGATTTTACTCGTAGATCCTGGCACTAAAAAGGACTTTAGTTTTTCGAGCAACTACATAAAAACCATTTTATTTCAAATACGTGCGAGCTGTTTCTCACTCGTATTTGTTTGATATTTAAATGTATGTGAAAATACTATTTTTTATACAAAAATTTACAAGATTTCTCCGCACCATTTTTAACTTTACCTATACATATTTGTAAAAACACACTCTCGCACATCGTTTTTGATACTGCGATTTTTTCTGTCGCATGCACTAGTTTTTGTGCGTGAACTTACGAACAATAGTGGATATAGATAGTCGTTACTGTTTATAGTCCTTTAATATGGCGCTCGTAACTGGGGTGCCAGTCCCGGAGGTATACACGGAAGTGTCGTCACACTTGTTATTTCCCACCGGAAACACGGCCTGCGCGTGTATATAGCTGTATAACGTTGTCATACTATTAATCCTTTTAGGATTAAGGTTCGCGATATATGTATCCGCATACGTAGTCTGACAACTAAGTTGTATGAAACTTATTTATATTCAAATACAGATCACCCCCCCTCCCGTTCAAATAAGTGTTATCTTTTTTAAAATATGATTCTTTTTTGTATATTTATTTCGATGAGGATTTTAATGAAGGGCTCCTGGCACTCTCTACTTGAATACCTGTCAGAATTTTGATTGAAATGTTTTTTAATTCACACAAACATTATTAAGAATTAATAGCACAATTTGTTTCGAAAATATATTTTTAATTTTTAGAGAGAGACACTTTCTTGAAAAATTTATTAACAAAACACTTGTATACAATATACTGGTTCTTTATTTATTGAGAATAAAATTTAATCTTCTTGATATTGTGGATACTGTGAAGAGATCATTCAGTTAATATGTAATTACTTTAAGTGTGTTATTAACATTATTGGAACAGAACTAAATGAGATGTCGAAAAATAAAAAAATAAATTTTTCATTTACTACATTGTCAATGCTGTCAGATTTGGAGAAAAATATCATATTTCAAATAAATATTGCAAGAAAAGCATGATAGTTTTATTCAATTTATATAATCATTTGTTGATTAAATCTGTTAATGTCAGTTGAAGACAGATCCTATTGAAAGAAAGTTTAGTATGTAATAGCTACTAAATGTACCAATTTTGTTTAGTAATTAGTATTGATGCAATGTTAGTAAATATTATCAAACATATAATAATATCAACCAATCGTTTGATAATAATTATTAAATATTTTTAATATTTACAAAAGTAAAATTGGCGTTTAGTTAATTCTAGTTATGTTAATCGAACATTTACGTGAAACTATTTCACCAAAGCTTAAGTAACTATCGTCTAGACTTATTATTATTAGCAGACTTCTTTCTCAGTACAGAAATTGAACCTAAATATAATTTAAGGTAGTTCTAATACGACATAAGTATTATAGATAAAATATTAGTATAATATTTAAAAACAAATGTTAATTTTGTACAATACTAATTATCATATCGCATATTTGGTTTGTATTGTATCTGTCCCTATTTACGAAAAAAATATGTTTACAAACTAGCATATTATATATTTCAAAATTTATAAATTGTCAAAATAGTGGGATGCATTGAAACATTAAAGAAAAACACTGAATCGTGAAAAAAATCCGTCCGTTATGATAAAATGGTTTGCACATCACTTCTGGCTAGCGACGTCATGAAATTCTCTGGATAACCACTGGAGAATTTCATTTTGTCAAATAAAACTTGTCCGTGGACAGTTTTGCCGGACATAGAAGTGAGTAAGGGAAAACCGCAGGAATTCCGTTATTAATCTTTTTCAGAGACGCGGAATGCGTTTTTTAAATCGTGCTGGGCGTAATTTTCAAATATGCTGTGCATTTCCGCGATAGCGTATTCTCAGCTTAGCGGAAATTCCGCTAAATAAAATTCAAACTTAACACCTTCCGTTCTTTTCGATCCGTCTTCTTTGTTAATTCGTTATAAGTTAAACGTTTGCTCAACTTTATTAATTATATTAAATAAAATTTTAAAAGAGAAAAAAATACATCGAGACAAATTTTCCATTTGTAGTTGCAACAACACGCATTACAAATTGATAGCAATGTTGAAACATGTCGCGTTGCAAAATTGGTCGCGAATGGTTACGAATTCATGTTTCCTAAGAGTGCGCAGCTAATATTTTCATTCGACTTTCAAACTTATCTTCTGAAAAACTTGAACGGATAAACTTGCTTTTCGAAACTCTTCGATGAACCGCGTGAAACTTTCTGATACTCGGACTCGTTTTTCGATGCGATTAGATCCGTCGGAAATGTAACTCCTTCGAAAGAGCAAAACTCCTTCGAGAGTCTCGAGATTTCAAAAATGATCTGGCTACTTCTTTAATCATAGTTTTTGCATTGAAATTGAGAATATTAATCAGTTATCACTTCATTCCAATTTTAAATAATAAAATCTATATACATATATCGATGTCATTTTTCTTTTTTTATTTTTTTTTATTGTATAATTCTCTTAAGATAATTTTTAAACCTTTCAATATATTTTCAATATATTATATTATTTGATTTACACATTTCGATTATTTTGTTTTGTATAGTTTTAATTTCTTTCTTTTCATTCCATTTTTTATAAATAGTATTTCTTAATATACGTGTATTACATAAATAGATTTGACGGTTTTAAAATAAAATAAATCAATGCCTTTGTATTGAAAGGAAGGAAAATCTCTCTTACAAGAAAAAGCAATCAACTCTTCTAAGGTATTTTGCATAAAATATGTAAATCAAATATTATTCTGTTGATATATATATTTTACTATGAAAATCTATAATCCTTTAATTAATACTATATATATAACCGACATCGAAAGTTGATTATTATTATTATTGCAATATTATGCTGTCAGTAATTATTCCAATTGTGTGTTTTGGGACAGAGACATTGCTCAAAGCATACCGCGAATTTGCTTATTATCTTGCTACTCTTCAAAGCTCAAGTTTTAGTCGACGATGAACGAAAGGGCAACGAAAATTGAAACAGAAAGATAAATCGGACTTCAAAGTATCTTTTCAACTCGCGGAAAGCAGCTCAAATACGATGAGCAGGATAGAAGTAGAAGGAGAAAATAGTGAATTGGCGCCGAGATAGAAGTAGTATTAATTTCCTCGAAGCACGAAGATTCCGCCACATCTACCCGCGTCTCCTCCAAAATCTTATTCTTTTCTTTGTCTGCTTCGTAACGCCTACAATAACGCAGCCAGTTTCGTTAGACTCGAAAGAGGCCGGAACTGTCTTTTATTAAATTCTAAACATTCACGGAAAAAGTAAATTCTCGATTCTTAGGGAATTAAACATAAATACTGAATTACTTGCAGTCTGAGACAATTAAATTCGCAAACATCTTCCTCGGTTAACGTTAAAAGATAACTAAGTTAAAAATGTGATAAAAAATAAGATTAATCTGTATTAAAAATATTAAATATAATATTTGCAAAAATGTCGCGACAAATTATTTAGTATCTCAAATTTTTTAAACTTTTGTTTAATTTTTTGTAACTATAAAAATATTAATCTTTCAAACTTATCACAGTGCTGTTAACACTGATCTATTACTAACAATTTGATATATTTTGAGAAAAAGACATATATCTATATATAAATATTATCTCTTTATTTTTTTAGGTGCGGTAGGCGGCGAAGGAGGTGACGAGGATGACAAGGAGAAGGAAGAGGAGGCCGAAAGAGAGAGGCAGGAGGCTATTAGGGAAGCCGAAGAGCGAAGAAAGGAGAAACATCGCAAAATGGAAGAAGAACGAGAGAAGATGCGGCAAGAGATCAGAGATAAGGTCAGCAATGACTATTTTGCTATAACGTTTTCAGTTTGAAATTCTCGCATGGTTTGGAAATGAAATTTGATTTTCGTACACTCATCATCTTTCAATTCAATTGAATCTCTGGTCATCATTAAGTATACTTCGCGTATTGTAGAATTTAATATTATTTACATATTAAACTGCTATTGCTCAATTTTGTCATTTAAATTATTTTATATTTTTTTATTTCATAAAAATATAACGTTATAAAAAAATAGTATTATTCACTATATTAATATTATCTTTATTGATTATTAATTAAAGGAATGCCATAATTCTAGGACATCAGGATAAATTTACTTGTAAATGTCTTTATTAATATAAAATTGTTATTTAAAGATCGCAGAACTGCCACATATCAAAAGCTGCTTGTTGTTTGTAGTTTTTGTCATTAAAACGCATTATTTGAAGATATTGTGAATCATATTTTTCAGTTGATTACAAGTGGATTTTGTTCGTGACTATAAATATCAGAGTACGAGTTTGAATATCGTCACGTGTTTCTCCCGCGTTTTCCACAAGAGTCCTCGATTTCATCTGGGTCATGTCAACGCCGTTGACTCCGTCCTGACAGGACAATACATCAGGATTGATAATGGCGCGATCCAACGTGCGTTTTACATCTCTTTCGTTCTCTCTCCTCTCTCTCTCTCTCTCTATCTCTCTGTCTGTTCCTCTTTTTATCCACACATTTATTTCCCGCCAAACCGCTGAATGCGTTGGAAGTTTTTTGTGAGATCCCGTCGTATATTGTTCTACCCCGTTTGATCAATGCTTCGACGGATTCTATTTTCTATGTGATTCAACCTGATTGCTTTGTCCTCTAAAAAATGTCAAGTGAGAGACCGAATTAGCTTTTACGAAATCTCAAGAGTTAATATCGATTCCCCTCTCGCGCGTCATTAATTCTCATATTAATGTAGGATATAAAAATAAATGAATATGTATAAACGTTATAGCACTGTTGGTGAAGGGTTTTTAAATGTATTTCTTACAGTAAAATAACGAAATAACGTTGCATTTCTATTTTCGTACCCAGAGTCTATAGTTTATTACGAGATAGAAATTTGATAATTTAAATTTTCCTTCACCGATATTTGCCCAATTGGGTTAGTGGCGTTGGATTTTGCGTGACGTTAATTGGAGTGGAAACGCGATTATCTCGTATGTAAACAGAAAATGATATCGTTGAAGGGACCAAACGCGTAATTCGACGTTGTGGGACGCAGTTTGATCTGTGTATGTGGCACACCAACCGCACTGTTGCAATGTGCTGTAATTCCACATGCGGAAGTGGTCGCCGAGTGGTTGAATGTTGTAACCATTATCATGGCAGATTTGCAACTGTGGAGATTCAAATATATATAGGTGTACATATATATATATATATATATATGTGTGTGTGTTTGTTTGTGTGTGTGGAGGATGTCTTAGACTAACTAAATCGGTAGATTAGTAATAAGCACATATGCTTTAACAAAATTAAATTTAACGATTCGAGAATCGTTTAATCTAATCGAAGATTTAAACGAAGTATTAAAAAACATTTAGATAAAGAAATGCGTAAAAAATTAAGGATTTAAAAATTAAGGGTAAAAAAATATAAATATCTAGAAACACACATCTATAGAAATTGATAATCTTATGAATTTAAGTATTTCGAAATATTAAAACTCAATTGAGTGAAAAATTAAACTTGGACAAAAGATAATCTTAAAGAACTTATGAAATGATAAAACAGTACTAAAGAGACTAGTTAGAATTGGACAAATGTAATAACGAATAAACGAATTTCAGCGGCTTCATTACTCTGCGAAATCTAGATTAAAAAACGTCTTTCAACGCGATGGCGTTTCAAGATTCGTTTAGTCCTCCGCGGTTTTATTCGTAAAGCAAGAAGATCTCGACGAAATATAATTAACACTAATGGTTGCTTCATCATAGACGAAAGAACTACCTTCAAATCCTTTCCATCTCGGTAGAAACATGATTCTTCGAAAATGAGCGGAAAAGATTGAGACGCGAGAGCCGCGATCTCTCATGAGAATAGAGCATCCACTATCCCGTGTAGTAGTGGAAGAGGCTTTGGCATGGTAATCGCATTGGGTCAAGTCAAATCCGATTTCCTATCTTGACTAATGAACGAAGTGGGACTTTGTTATAGTAAAGTCCTTGCGCAATTTGAAAATATTCTTTTTATTACTTTATTTGCAAATTAGTCTCGAGGATTTGTCGCGGAAGAAGCAGCACAATACATATATATGTATTATTTTAAGCTAAACATACAATATCTAAAAAATATATATTATACATAATATTTTATCTTTTTTATATTAAATTTCGACCAATATATTATTTCATTTATTATGCTATATTAGTGTAAATATTACTTCGTAACATTTATCATCACATCAAAACTATATGCAAGCTAGATCTGTTAATATTTATAGAATGCATTTATATTTGTTTCGCGATATGTGCGATTGCCTTACATTTTTTATTACTGTTGGCAAAAAAATATATTTGGGAGATTTTCGAGAGACACAAAATAGTTTTGAATTTACAAACATACACACAGAATAAACGAATCCGAAAAAAACATATTAAAGACTGAATCTTTCTCACATCAAAAATAATGTTTTTTTCTAAAACTGAAACATAATGCTAAATAAATAGAAAGAAAGAGTGAAAATAGAGAAAGAGAGAAAGAACGAAATTTCCAAAGTTTTGCTTATCGATCTAATATTGTTCGCGTTTTACATTACTCCGAGAAAATATTATATTACATACTTTATTCTTTCTGCTTCTTCTATCGGCCTTCTGTTCTTAGTCCTCAAGGATAATTCCTCGAAGACAAAATATCGTTAAAGGAACGACATTATTGAACATTGTTATAATCAGTTTCTATCAATATCATCGTCTTTATCGCAATACTTTTATTTTTATTTTGTTATGTATCTCATCATCGAATGATTATCCTATTGTTCGTTAGCCATACACTGCTTCTTCTTCATTTTCCTCTTTTGTACTTCTTTCTTTTAATAAGTACCGAGTGGAAGTATTGAGTATTGAATAGAAGAAATGATGAAAAATGACTCAAATTATTTACAACCATTTGAGAAAAAGTTTTAATTTATTAATTCCAATTGAAACATTCGAAAAGTTGAAAGAGTTTCTTGAACAACACAAACACTGCTAAAATAAATGTATATACACAGGAGAAATCTACTTTAAAGAAGTATTAATTTATACAAAAGTTGAAATTCCAATTAAAATAAATTTTGCTTTATTAATTTTGTGAACGTATTTGTCAGATCATAGTAAGATCATAATTGAACAGATTGACGATATATACGAAGATACCTATAAATCGATATATGAGAATAGTTTATTGTCGACCTAGCCTCAATAAAATTTTCAACGCAACCAACGTAAAGCAATCTTTGGCGTCTATGTCTAGCCTTGCGTTGGTATTTTCAGTCAATCGAAACGATCGCAAATTACATAGAATCAGGCACAATCGATTGGCAGTAGCATTCAGCATAGCATAGGCCTTCAACGATTGCGTTAAATAATTTATACGTCACATGCTAAACCAATGCGAGGAATAGTGCTGTAACTTTGAGGAGAGTTAAATTCATCGAGATATTGTATCTATCGATATCGAGATAAAAAACTAACAAGGCTGAGAATTATATGTGTAGAAGTTACTTAAGTAAAATAGGGCAGCCGTCGTTATAAGTGGCAAGTTCGGCATTAACCGTTATATTATAATTAAGGGTGATTGATCGTTTTTCTGTTAAACACGCGTATCCTATAAGTAAATGTCGAAGATAATATTCGAAAAAGGAAGAGGAAGCATCAAATGTGACAACGGAGGTGAGAAAAAAAGAGGCGACGATGAAGTGAACTAGGAAGAGAGAAGATTGAACTTAACTGGGGTCAAATTGACTCTAGTAGGGAGTCCCTGCATTCAATATGGCGACTTCCTAATAGAGTCAGGCTGACTCCTTTTAAGACGTTCACCAGATGAGGAACTGTCTTGCGAAAGCACCTGAGAATGTGTACTTTATAAACGAAATAAGGTTATTTAATTTACAAAGTATCAGCTAATTTAATGATACCGATGGCAGTGTCGCGAGCGATGTTGTATGTACCGATTTATAGAAAACAGCGCTGCATTAGCTGCATCGCTGATTGATTGAATAATTGATTGAATTTGTCATATAATACAAAATATCAATTTATTTTAGAAATACTTAATACTTATTTTAAATTTATATATTGTTTGTATAATTAGGAATTGTATTGTGTGAACATTTTCTTTATAGGATTACTTGATAATTAAATTTATATTCGCGAATGAAAAAGTGTAATTAGAATGTATGTAGATTAGTATTGTGTGTGTGTGTGTGTGTAGATTTTCACAAGAAAAGGAGCAATACGATACATCGTCTTTTGAAACCTACTATAACTCTGAATCCCGACAGAGATCTCAGATTCCAATTTTCCCGCGGTAATATGGCACCGTATCAGATCTTCTGTCTATTTTTAGCACCAACAAAATTTATGATGCATATAGGGAGTATCGAATACCATAATCTCTTCTTCCAATCTTTCCTTTCGTTTCTACAAACTAATAATGCTAGTTATAGGTCTAATGATAATAATAAATGATGAAAGAGGGAGAAAAGAAAGAGAAAATTATAGATATGTTAATATTGTTTATCAAATCTTTTGGAAATATTGGCAAAATATCAAATTTTTCAAAATTCGTTAAAATATCATAATATTATTTGTTTAATATACATAATTCGTTTCACTAAAATTATCTATTTAATATAGTTTGTCTTGTTTATAATAATTAATAAATGGCGAGAAAATGAATAATTTCATGAATAGTTACATAAGAATGCAGAGCATACGAAACGAGGGCATGAAAGGACGCAGGCCTCAAAAACGCCGCAGTGCGACTCACTCTGCGGGCTTCATGGAGGCAACACACTGTACTAATATCATTAGAATAAGCGAATGGCGCAAAACTTCAAGCAGTTGTTTATTCATTAATTGCTATCAAACAGTTGCAATTATTGTGTGCATTAAATGCAATAAATGCTACATAAAATTTATTATTACATATATGACAATGAGCGATATCTGTAATTCTAAAGAATAAGAATCATTTATGCATATAAGTATAAAAAAAATTTTAATAAGGAATTATGAATACCTAATATAATTGTGAAAATTTTAATTATTACACTATAAAACACGATTTTGCATCACAAATGTGAATAGTCATTCCCGACGTATTACACGTCAAAAATACGTCGGAAATGACTATTCACATTTGTTATATAGAAAAAGATCAAATTTGTTTGTTCCACAGTGTTATTATCTAATAATTATTGTATAATTTTATATACATATAATTAATAACTAAAGTTGATACAGTTATTTACGCGTCTTTAGTTCTTTTTATCTTGACTTTAGAATCATGTACTTTTTTAATTGTCCGGTTATTTTTAGCATAATTGTATGTGCTAGTAAAATGTAACGCCGCGCGTTAAATGATAAATCGCCGCGCAACTATAATCCGGCGCATAATAACGTTCTCATAATTTCGAACATGAATGGACAGAAGCACACGTACAGATGCAAGAGGCGCGCGAACATGTTGCGCGTGTATCGAGGAACATTAATTAACGTCAGGATCAGAGCATCAGATTTGACGCTGCCATGTGAGGTACAGTGCTCGTTTATCCTTGTGCTATCTGTCTCCTCGATATAACGTGTATGTTCGTTGAGAGATTGAGAGTTTAAAAGAGAACGAGTTCTTGTGACATATGTATATAATCGGAGAATTAAGGGGGTAGGACACTTGGACCAGCCTGAAAAATAAAGATTTTTTGAGCTTGGATTGCAGAAAAAGTATAAATACGATCCACTTGGAATTTGGCACTTTATTCATACATATATTAAACTTGTTATGTTTCAAATTTTATTGAAAAATATTAATCTCTCGAGGAAATACAGTAATCCGCATAAAACGTGCACTTTTAAACGTACATGATTCCGCCATTTTGGTTATTTTGACACAGAAAAATCGAAATAGTTTCATAAATTAAAATGTACTCCCTATCGCGTGACCAACGATTTTGTTGATAACATTTTTAGTTTTCAAAATACAATAACATTTATAATGTCAAAAATGGATAAAAAGTTTAAACATGTTTATTTCTGTCAATTTTCAAAAAAAAAAAAAATAAAGCTCGGTCACGCGATAGGGAGTACATTTTAATTGTATTTATATTTTTTCTGCAATCCAAGCTTAAAAAAACCTTTATTCTTCAGACTGGTCAAAGTGTCCTATCCCTTTTAACATTATAAGACATAATAGAATTTTTCTGCATGTGCTAAAAACTTTTAGACATTTTTGGAACTCTAAAAATTAAAGTATAATATTAGGATATTAATTAACATTTTCTTGAAACTTTTGACTCGCAAGAAACTCATTTACATTAGAAAGACTAGCACAGTTTATTGTATATTTTTAAATACATTTTTCGATGTTTTCATTATTTCTTTGCTATTAAAGAGTTTTTTGACGAAAAATCGATATTCCCTTAGAAGAGACATACTCTTTTAAAATATTAATATTTTTTATGTAATAAAGAAAAAATTTATATTAAATAAATAGTTATTAACTAAATGTTTGCGTACTAACGAAATATATATTGATTGTAATAGAAAGAAGTGCTTTTCTCTCTCTCATTGCGTTATCAATACTGTTATAAGTTGGGAAGAAAAATATATCTTGTTCAAACTAATTATCATATTACTTACAGGTTTGTGAGATGTGCTAACGATTCTCCTTTACTAGAAAATTAATGTATACTTAAGCGAACTGATGTATATAGTAACAGAAATCGCGTAATAAGTTATAATACGTGCGCAACATATTATACATAAGACATACATTACATATCATTGGTTTCAAATTATTACTTATTTTCTTGAATCGCAAATAATTGGACATAACGCGTTTTTTTCTAAAAACGACTCATCTGGAGAGAACAAAGGCATTCACGACGCCGAATATGCACTATTATTCGTAGCACAACAAATCATTTCACTGAAAGGCACCAATTATTAATGAGGCCTTGGTCAGCGCAGTACAACGTACATATACGTATCCCACAGGTAATGATAATACTTGTGTATGAGGCATATTCCTATACACGCAGCGACAACGGCACTTGTGCCATGCTATGTCCAGCTTGCTTCGCAATCGAGCTTATTATTGTACCAAGAATACAAAGCATCAATACGCGAGAACCATCGCTGCTTGTTATAAATTGGATGTATTAAATAGCAAATAAAGAGAGAGAGAGAGAGAGGGGGGGGGGAGCGGCAAGAAAGAAAAGAGAGAGATATTAATTATTTGTTAAAGTATAAATTAATACAATAAAATAAATATTTGTGTGATAAAGATATATGATAATAAATATATGATTTATTGTAAAAAATGTAAAATAAAAAAGATATTAACTATATGAGATATATATGATTACAGTGTATAATTATAATGATAAAATAATAAAGTAGTATAACAAATTAATACAATATACCGGGTAGAGAAATTATAAATTCCTCTATCTTGCTTGATGAGATATTATTATTTTTTATTTACAGTATAATATAAAGAAAAGAGAAGAGGTACAGGAAATGCCACAGGAAGAGCCTAACCCTCTGATGCGGAAGAAGAAGACACCGGAGGAACTAGCGGCCGAAGCTGAAGCCGAAGATGAAGACGAATTCACTAGTATGTAATGTTTGCAATATTATTTCGATATATTTAAAATGAAACGTTTTATCAGTCAAATTAGCTTTCACTTACAACGTTTTGCATAATTCTAAACCTAATTTTTTTTATAAAAATGTCAAGGCCTCAATAAATTTTAAATTATGATTAAGAATAAAAGAATTTTATTTATTCACAATCATGAAAATTTAATCTCAAGCTAGTTATTTATTGCAAAATTACATAAATATATATAAAGATATAAATTTCTCGCTTTGAAACATAAAAGACAAGATTAAGTAAAAGTGAGATAAATTAAATTATCTCAGAAGAAAAAATAATGGCTATTTTTAATAAATCCAAAATCGTTATCGCCATCGTGATCAAACTATGAAATGTTTCTTAGAATATTTACACTACATCTATTAAACTCGGCAAAGTACATATGGATCACAAAATATGAGGTAAAATTTTGGCTACAAAATTTGACAGATGTTCTAATTTTGCAAATACAAATCTAACATTACAACTATTTTCTATATCACTATATCTTTATGAGAAAACGTCGAATCGTGTTAATATATAATAGTAGCTTAAAGAACAAGCTAAGCCCTTAGGGAAATTACTCTAAATCCCCGCAACACTAGAGAGATTCAGAAACACAAGCTCTGCCAACTACCCGAATATTTGGATTCATATATATTTATATATGTATATCGTTAATTAATTGTCCTTCATCATATTATGTATGGTACATATTTTATTATGCCTTCATTAAATTTTTATAAAATCTTAGAATTCTTAGAAATTCTAATTATGAGATTCAGTAAAAATTATTTTTGTTTTACTCATTAAAGCGAAATATACAGCGACATTTTCTTAGTTGCAAAAATACATTATTAATGTACTTTTATAATGTGTTCTAACTTCATTTAAATTTCATATCAACAATTTTATTTATTCACTTTCATACTCAATTTACCAGAATTACGTAAAGAATTGAAATTTGCAAAAAATAAGTTTTCTGTATAATTATCTTTAAGAAAAAGAGATATAAAACTTAAAAGATAAAAATGTTTATGTCTTCTACGAAAATTAAATTTTGGAAAGAGGATTACAATTTTTTTAAACAAATAACTTTGTCAACTGTAAATTTTTATCTATCAAGACACTTCCAATAAGGATTGTTCTCTTTCTTTTATATGTTTCTTTCTTTTTTTATATCTTATATTTTTTTCACAAAAAGTTTTCATTCTCAATTAAAAATTTTTGTTAACTTGTGCCTTTTTCTCTTATTATTTTTTGTTTTAGATTTTATTGATATTTTATTAAACATATTATTATATTTGACTGTTTCAGAACTGAGAAATACGATAGAAACGCAAGTGAACGAGATCAAGTCACAAATTGAAAGTAAGTGCAGCCTCCAATGAGCCTATTGCATCGCGCGGTTCGCGAGAAAGATGACAACGATATCATACGTCGTCGTCGGGCTCGCATCCGCCCTGCTGCCCAGAGGAACAAAGGAGAAAGGGGTAGCGGAAGAGATAACGAAGCAACGAGAAAGAGGAAAACTGATATGTAGAGTTACCAACATTGGAACGCCATCGTCGTGTCGATCAATCGGAGATCAATTCCAACAGTCGATTGGTCGATCGTTGCTTAAAGTGAACGAAAATGAACGACGAGAATGAGCCAGAAGATATCCCAAGGATTTTCAAAGGATTCCTAAAGGATTTTTCATTGCCGTCACATTTAGATGCAATTTCAAAAATCGAAAGGATCCTGTCGAGGATTTTATCCTGCATCGGATTTGAAGTTAGTGATGAAAGAAGAATTACCTTTTATGCAGAGAAAAAAGATTATCAAAAGAGTTGAATGATATATGAATGAAATATTTGAAATATCGAAAATATTAAATTTACGCAAGATATGCAAGAAATTAGAAAGTAGAAGCTGAAACTTGGAAAAGATGTGATTTTTTTATTAAAATCTGATAACTGAATTGGTATTGATAACTGGAAGTAAAAGAAGATTACTAACTGAACATACAAAATTAAAATCTAAGAATGAATTTAATTCTGGAAAAGATTTTTAAGAAATTTTAAAATCTAATTATAATCGGTGCTAGTAATTTACTGGTAACGCTAGTTATTTCCAGTAAATTCAAAAGAGAAATCATCCGTAAACTAGGAACATAACAATAAATCTAAAACATTAAATAAATATATATTATAAATATTTCAACAAAAGTAAATGAACTAAATAAACAGCAGAGCATGCTGTTATATTTATACAGTAAATGGAAAAAATCAAAATAAATCAACAGAATAAAGAATGAGATTGAAAGATGCTTGTTGAGAAAATACAAGAACCAATTCTCTCGATTTACTACAACGAAGAGATATAAACTTCAGTTTAAAATCCATAAATTTGGGAGAAATTCTCGACAGACGTCCTAATGTTCTTCAGCGCAAAACGAAGAGATCCAGGCATTGACGACATTGAAGAAAAATAAAATTAATCATCAAAATAATCGACATAATAATTATCTTGAAGAGAAGCACGAAACAAAAAGGTACAGACACAATTGTCTTTAGAAAGAATGAAGATCGCGTAACGAAATATCGCAGAAAAGAATTAGAATTCCAAAAGTTTAATCTCATTTCATTTGAAAGCAAACAATATGACGAAAGAATTGTGTAAAAACCAAAAGGAGAGATGACTGAAATATTGTCGATCGTCGATGGTGTTCGTGAAGGGAAAATTTAGGGGGTAAAAACGATGTAAACGACGATGAAGACAAAAAGGGAAAAAGAGAGAGAGAGAGAGAGAGAGAGAGAGAATGCTGACTCGACCAGAGTGTGATTTTTTTATGTAATTGTTGCAGTTAAAACGAAGTGTGAAGTGATGTTGTTTTATATAGGATAATTAGGTGTTCTGTAGAATGTGTTTAGATGTAGTATAGTTTATAACAAATCAATTATCTGGTATGACGAGTGAAGTATCCAACTGTGGATACTGAGTTATTTTCTATTTATAGTTCGTCTAGATATTCTATAGTTATACGGAGAATTTTTGGCGCAATTTGGTGATTGAAAATTAACTATTGATTATTACAGGAACTAACCATTCACTCTTTACTTATTATTAGTATTAATGATTTGTTTATTTAGATATTTTATGGAATATCTAGTTATTCTATATTTTTAAAGATCATGTACTACGAACGTTTTAGACAAGTTAATTGATTCTCAGATAGGGATATATTAGATAGGTGTCTTACAATACTTCTTTGGCAGGAAATTTGTGGAATGTTTTCAGAAGAATCGTTAAAGCTTTCTAAATTTCGTATTTAACAATCATTCGGCACAGATATATCCAGTAAACTACTTACAGTAACCATAAGATCATTTTTAGAGTCTTACAATTATCGTACGATTACGGCTTCTGCATAGTTAGAACGTAACAAGCATGACTCATGCAGTGATCAATTAACCTTTTATTTTTCCGGAAATAAAAGATACGTAACAGGGAAGGTGACTGGCTTCTTGCTGCGTGCAATTATATTACTGCGGTCTGTGTGCAAGTCAGTCAGATATAGTTATCGAGCTCAAATGAGAAACTTCGGAAGCAATTGGACCTCGAAACTTCCCTATTAGATGGTCAATTAACAGCTCCAATGAATGCGTCGTAGTACAGAAACTATACTATGCTTTATATTGCTACAACACTTATAGTCTGACTAACTATCTTTATTTTAATTAATGTTCTTTTCTATCACATTTATAAATCCTTCTCATTTAATATAATAATTGTCACTGCTTTTAACTGTAAAACCATGGGTTGCTAGCTATATAAACTCTTTAAATCATGACATAAAAGGCAAGTTGTAACATTGTGCATAATAAAACTAGTAATCCAACCAAAAATTGGTCTCAAACGCAAGATTATAATACAAAATTAATTAATATAAGGGAAAAACACAAAATTAAAATATCTAAAATTATAAAAAAAGAACGTAAAAATTAATGAACGAATATTCGAGAGTGAGACTATTGATTATAAAAATCAAGAAGTAACAATCTTTTAAAAAATTATCAAAACTTTATCATCTGTCGACTAATCTGCTAATTAACTTATATCGACGATGCTAACGTTAACGACCATATAAATTTTTTACTTTTTGTAGCCAACGTCTGATTTATATCCCAGTTATATCACTGTTATTACACTTACACACACAATTATTATGACTACTATGTATACTATTGTTATATTTACTACAGTTTCACAACAACGTTACATATTGTCTTTTCATAATTTATACAGGAAGTAGAAAGTACTGAATGGACAAAATATGCAACATACATATCAAAGCTAAATATTCATGCATCTAGTACGTTTAAGTTCACACTTGTTGATAATAGATTATAAATTATTTTAATCTACCAATCTGATCTAAAGTATGTGCAAAATTGACAGAAATAATTATATGGTAGTAGAATGAAAACAAAATTTGCTAACAAACAAATTTTTTTGTGGTTTTAACTAACATATTTTAATTCTCCGCTAGCAGTCGATGTTTTATAGTTGAATGCTAATCTCTTTTCTTAGAAATAAAAATTTAATTATACATAATGCCGCGCTATCTGGTCGTGCAGCATACGACTCTCGAGATAGATACACACTTGCAAATATCACGTGCTCGAAAACGCAAGGTGCAAGGCGGGATATTTAGCTTCTCTCGCTCGTTACAAACAATAACGATAAAGTTTATATATGTATATATATATATATATATATATAATATATACACATATATACATATATATATATATATATATATAAACATAAATAGAGAAAAAGATGAAAGAAGCAAAAAAAAGAAACGTATGTTAGCACGTTAAGTTTTTAGGAAAGATTTTTCGGATAGTGAAAAAATAATAACAATTGTAGCTGAGTTATGTAGTTGATAGAAGTTCGTTCGACGACTGCTTTAATATAATAAGGAGAGAAGAGAGAGAAAATAGTGATGAAGGAGGTTCTTATTATTGTTATCGTTATTATTAGTAATGCTACTATGATTATTAAAAATTCATACTTAAAGACGAACACATCGAGCGTTACGGTAAAATCATCACGAAATGTGACTAATGACAATTGCTAGTCTCCTCGCTCTGCCATTCGTTCAAAAACTAAATGAGAATGCTAATTTAAGAAGACAAATAGTAATAATGAAAAACATGACATCAATATGGATAAACATTTTATTAAATTCAGAAAACAGAAAAAATAAAAATCAGTTATAAGTTAATTGTAAATTAATTAGATTATTGGCTTCTTGTGTTGCTTTTCTAGATTTTAAATATAATAGATTTACTCTATATTTTTAAATAATTTATTATGAACGGTTTAACATAACAAAAAACATAATTTTTATTGTGTTACATCAACTACATTTATACTCGTTATTAGACGTTTCTATTGTGAGTTCTAGTTACCTGTTTTGTTGTTAATGTTAAGATATTTAAAGATATTTTTATATTTTAAGACAAATTTTAAATTTTATGATAAAATGTTATTAGAGATTCTCAAGATTTTCAAAAATTATATTCTTATGTCATTAAACGCAAGTAAAAAAGTTTAAATTTGTGTTATTCTCACTGATTTTGTTTATATATGAAAGATTTTACATTTAATTTTTTAATTATCTATAATAATATACATATATACACATATATATGGGAGTTGGTATACAGATAAAGATAAAAGCGCAGACAAAAAAATGAGAAGAAAAAAGACATTTAGTATATTGTAATACCATTTTTGTACGGGAAACAGAGAAATGTATTTTTTTATTTGGACGTGTTAAATTCATATACGCCTAACATTTTCTTAACCCTCGAATGGCAGGGTAATGATAAAATGAATTAGTAATACATTCAATTCATAAACAATAAATAATAATAATAAAGTGATAAATTGGTTTTACCGCTGACAGAGGTCAGATCAAAATTATCTAATGTAGAATATTATAGTACCTATATACTTGTTCTCTTTAATTAACTTTTTTTTATTTATTGATTGGCTTCGTGGATTAATTTTACAAATATTTTTCTAAATTACTCCACAAAATAGCTTGATAATTGAATGTTATTACAAATTTTAATTACATAATTTAAAATTAAGTTTTTTAAAATAATTATCTTATAAATAAATTTTTGTCTGATAAATTGGATTTTAAAGCTTGAAAGACTGAAGTTAACAAGTTTAACAAAATTAGTGGTAGAGCACACGATTGAAAATGATTGCGAATCAATTGGACGTCACTCTATCAATTTATAATTAAATAATCATTAAATTATTATTCTAGAAATATGATTACTTCAAATCTCTGTTCATTTGCTCTTAAACTCATCTTTTATCTTCTTTCTTTTACTGTTATTACAGTTTATAAACTCAACTATTTGACCTTCTATCGCTAAAAAAACTTCAAATTTCGGAAATTTTTCTACTTTATGTTTATTTTGTAATTAATATTTATATTATGTTTTATCTGTATTATTTATTTATGTACCATAGTTATATTTTTTATTTGTATAATAATTTTATATATAATTTAAGGATCATTTTTTAAATATATGTGCTATTCTATTCTTGTACAAAGTTTCTGAAAATACACCGTCAATTTTATAAAATATAATTTAATTTATTCTTCTACGTATTTTTAATATCCATTTCGTTGTTCAGGGGATAAAGTTTTTGTAACTTTTTTCGCAACACACAATATTGTAAAGGAGAATATCAGTGATTGTGCTTATTTTGCAAATACCTTGCAAGGTGTTGTACGTAACTCCGTCAAAATTATGCGCAAGAATGTTTTTTAAGCAAAGTTCGGGATTGTTAAAAAATTCATATTAAAACTTCTAAAATCATTTTAAAATAAATTTAATGTATTTATGAGATTTTATTTTATCATATTTTCTAAATACTTTGATGTCTCTTAAAATATTTATAAAATAAACTTAAATAATAAAAGCAAACATATAAATTATATTATATTTATTATATATTTATAAATTTTATTATTATATACATTTTATTTCTCTACAAAAAATTTGTACAAACATCATTAATCTCGTCTGAAATTGAAAAGACTTAGACACCGTTATCCAAGGATTAATTATCGTCGAACAAATAGCAATATTCAGTGAACGCAAACAGAGCGTTTCGCTGACTGCATTTATTCCACACTTTTATCGTAAAAAAACCGCGAACTTTCTGCCGTAATTCGCGGAAAGAGCAGAACCGCCTTTGAAGTTCGCCAAGTTCGGTGACGACCGAAAGTTCTGCAAAAATCGCTGACAACGTGCTGCCTTCCTTTTTCTTCTTCTCAGTTTTGTCCTTTCCAACTCGACTTTTCCTTTCTCTCCCTACTATCTCTCCCTTCCTGCCCTCCCTTTCTCTCTCTCTCTCTCTCTCTCTTTCTCGGTTTTCAGAGCAAGAAACTCCACCATCCGATGCGACTCTGCAGCTGTTTGCTCACGAAAAACAAACCAAAAACTTTTCTTTCAGCATTTGACTTATCCTCGTTCTTCTTTCGATCTTGCTGGAAAATGGATGAGGATTTTCATAGGTTCAAACCAAAACTTTACCAGAAAATTTGATTTGTGATCTTCAAAATCGCGTTTTAATCGGCAGACATTATTGAGAAAAATCATAAATTAGAAACAAAAATAAATTAATTACTCTTGGAGAAATTCAATTTGTACTTAAGGGATGGTGTTGAGCAATTGTATTATCTAAATAGTTATGTTTATGATAAAAATTAAAATCGATCAGATTCTGAAATTACTTTTTTATAGAAAATTTTATTTTATTATATTTCTAATAATAAAATAATCTATATGCAAACTTTTTATTTGTTTTAATTATTGTTTTATTTTAATTATTATTTTTAATTAACTGATTTACTTTGTAATAATATAATAACGTAATATATATTTCATTATATATTTCTTATCTTATATATTAAATGTTAATATGTAATTTCGTAAATCAAATGAAGAATGTATTACAAATTAGCTGCGTATATGGGATCATAAAATTAATCAAGTTTTCTCTATACATTTTTCACAATCATGTATAAATTGAATCTTCATTATTCTTATTTTTACTAAACTAAATATTCTATGTCTATATAGAATATTTAAAAAAGATAATGGTTCAAAATAATATATTAAAAGAACTTGTTAAACCAAGTAGAAAAATCTCAATAAAAAAATCTGCAAACATACTATTTCCAAAAAACATACAACGTGTGGAAAGTATTACATTACTAGTTTACAAAAACAGCTAATATGTTGACTGCGACAATTTTTCTTGGTTTAATATATTCTATTCAATGTATCGATTTGAACCATTATTTTATAAACATTCTGTGTCTATCTGCTACTACGATTATCTTTGTGTTTCTCTATGAAGTTACGCAGAAAAGAAATGATCTCTCGTCTGACAACCAAACCTCCAACGATTCACGCACGAGAATCAAGGAGACGATCGACTAATATATCCAGGATGCGGAAAAAAACCAAAAAATTTTTTTTTTGCAATATGTTTTGCAAAGTGTACTCGATGTGTAATCTTTCATCTGTCTATCGATGTGCATGTGAAATTTCTGCTCCGCTTATCGTGTCTTCTTCTTTATCAATGTCGCTGGCTGGCTGATCTTCTTCGTCGCGTAGCTTATCGCTCTCGTGTAACTATCTGTCTGGCTGAAGATCTTCGAAAATTACCCTGTAACGGGTAATTCGTTCCACAATTAATCCCAAACGGCATAATCAATATCGAAACCTCTCTAATACAATCTCGAAGAAGTTGAACCCATCGTCATACGCTTCGTTCACAGATGGTTTCTGACATATTATATTTTATTTATTCGCAAAAATTTGCGAGAAGTATATAAGGTTTTAAAGTCTATTGTATAAAATACGAGATAAACAATAGCAATTATAAATTATAATCCTATTTTTTAAATCTATCTTTTATCTAATTCTCTATTTTATTTTATTAATCTATTATTAATCCTATTTATAAATCTATTTTCGTAATATTATTAGCATTAATATTATTTAAACATTTATATTAATAATAATTATTATTATTATAAGTATTTATTATCATTATAGAATTAATAAAATAGAACATTATATCATTTTTGCATTATTGCTATTATAACATTTTCCTTTACAACTATATTTTAAAAGATATTTTAAATACTCATCGTCAATTTCTTAATTTTAGGATATGGATTAATATAATCAAAGAAGAAAAAAATATATAAATACACACAAATATATACATACATATATATATATATATTTTGTTATCAGAGTTAGAAAGATAAATGAACGACGAGGTCATTTTCGAAGATCCGGCCTCGGCCGAATTTTACGCTATTTCCTGTAAATCATCTTGCGTGTTTAATCATCCTGATTAATTCTCATAACTGCAAACAAAAGATTTAAAAATTCCTATTTCATTCCTATTTCATTGAATCAACAAATTATTAATATTAGGTACATTATAAAAAAATCTTAATTTTTTTCTAAAAAAACATTTCAAAATGTAGATTCAGAGTTACAATTCTCACATATTATAATACAAACTTATATACAAATATTTTATAAATAAATATATTCTTTAAATTCATACGGAAATTGTTTATTTGCAAATTTTTTACATTTTTTAACATTTGATTTAATTTCTCGAGTTACCATCATAGTTTCGTAGTTATGAGTTTTTAATTAGGGCATTGACACCGTTGGTGCGATGACACCGTTGCTGTACTCTTCGAACAGCCTCACGATGTACCCCGCCGTTCAGATTATATCCAAAGCGATGTTATACTCAAAGTCAATTACTGAATATAAATCGACTTACTGAAGATATATGCATACGTTTTCTCGTATAATTTTCAATATACGCAGTATTTATCTGTTGTAGATGTGTAAGTCAAATATATCCACAAATTAAGATCTATGCAAGAGGGAGCATTAACGATTTCTGATATATCAATTTATATAAGACTTTAATTTTTTACAATTATCATTTTTTTTATATTTTTCCATTTTTACAATCGACAAAATTTTAATATTATTTGAGTGATTCTCAACATTCAAAAATATAGAAAATAAATTAATATAGTAGTCAATATTAAAATATTTAGATTCAATAAACTAACCAATGTTGCATTTAATTATATTTGATAATTATTATAAACTTTTGCTCTCTAATAATGTACGTATTGAAAAATTCCAATATCTGGACATTAATAAACTTTCAAATCTTGAGATTAATGCTCTCGCTTGTACAAAGAAATATGGCAACACATTTAAAGGACCAGGAATGTTCTCCGGAACAAACTTTAATCTACAATTAAAAGCGGATTATAGCTAAAAACATTGACACCCAATAATTTAACTCTTTTAGCAAGAAGTAGACAGGTTCAACATGACTGAAACGTTATCCTGGTCTACTTAATTGTAATGGCCACTTAAATGCAGCAATTAACAGTGACGT